AAAAAAAAAAACAAATAACCATCGGCCAAGGTTTGAAATCAAGTAAGAAAACTGCTTATCAAGATGATTTTATGAAGGGAGGGCAGGGGAAAAAATAAGAACCAAGATACGTCATGTAAAGGTACAATATCCCAATGATGACTACAACTGTACTGTTTACCTTAAATGTATCAATAAGCTTAATAGAAAAAAAGCAATCAGGACAGCTATGACCAAGGAGCTCTGAGTAAAAGAAAAAAAAAAAAGCAATGAATTATAAATGTTCTTTGTAAATAATATAAATTAGAAAAGAAAATTAATAAAATACATAGATATTATTAGAAAAAGATAACTTTACCCCCCCCCATTTCTATTTTCCTTTAAAATTCTGAGCTGTAAAAAAGTTTTGGTGAAAAAAACCCTGTTGTTTTAAATTTGACAAGAACAGCCATGAACATTATTTACTATACAGCACTTAGCTTTTCAAATATGAACATATACAACTGGATAAATGACTAGACCGTGAGGTAAGCACACATGTATTTCAGGGGCGCAATCCGAAATCCGAAATTCTGACTTTGAGACTGAACGCAGGACGGGACACAGAATTGTCATGGGTGTGTCTATCTGAATGTGGTTAAGGATGAGCCTGCACACTCTGAATGAATGCCATACATCTTGGGGCAATCTTTTACACCAGTTAACTCAACAGCAATAAATGAAACAGTGAGTTGGAAATGGTCAGTACCTGCTGCTCAGCACACTTCGCTTCTGTAAAATTCATAAAAACGCACAGGATGCAGTGATGAAACTACTCCTTTTGTGCTTGCCAGAGGAGCTGTTTCTGAGTTTTATCGACTTGTGTCTAAATTTTGATCTATGACACCACTCTTCCATGGTGATGTTATAAAAATGCATTTCATTCACACAAAGAGTAACATGTAAGAAAAACTCTCCATTGTAGTGACAAAGCAAAAGTAGCCTTAAACAAAAAATGAGGGCTTAAAGATTGAACAGTTACCTGCAGGCTACATGAGAAAGTGAATGAAACTGTTTTCTGAGGTGCTGAGGGACTCGGGCGAGGATTACCTTTTTCTTCCAGTAAGCACACTAAGGCGTGAGTGTCAAAGTAGAGATTCCGACTCCTGGGAGAGGTGAAACCTGTCCTTTTGTGCTCCAGCTGCAGGCACTGCACAGACAGGCTTAGCTCTAGAATGGAAAGGAAAGAAAGTTCAAAACAGAGTTCATGGTAAAAGTCAGCACTGTGAAAAAGTTAAGGTGTACCTCACAGCCTCTCAGCCTGTGTGTGTGTGGTGTTGGGGACTGAAAGTGTGGCCCTCATGAGCACTAAGCACGTGTTCTACCACAACGCTACATCCTGGGATCTGGTTTTTCATAACAGCTCTAAGGAGATACAGCTCATATACCATACAATTACCCACTTGAAGTGTAAAGTTCAACTGTTCATCGTGTATTCAGTTGTGCATCTCTGTACCCCGTAGCTATCACCTTCCACTTCCCTGCTCTGCCTCCTTACCTGGGCAGCCAATGATCTATTTACTATTATTATTTATACGGTTGTTGGCATACTCTGGAGATCTCCTACACATGAATGGAAATGGCTTCCTTGACTTAGTGTAACGTTTTCTTCGTTGTAGAACATGTCAATCCTACTTCTTGGTATCATACAATAATACTCCATTGTATGGCTATTCCAAATTGGCTCTATCCATTCATTTATTAGTTGAAGAACATGGGTTTTTTCCACTTCTTGGCAATCATGAATAACTCTATGGACATTATGTTTGTAATACTCCTGAGTGGAATTGCTGGATCGCAGGATAAACCTGCTTAACTGTTTTGGGAACTGCCAGATCGTTTCCCACAGCAGCAACACCTCAAAAGCACAAAAGCTGAATTTGGATGAAGCCCAAATTAGTTTTCTTGTTGCTCACTTTTGAGGTCATAAGAACCATATGTAAGAACCACTGTTTTCTTCTAAGAGTTTTATCTCTTATAGTTAGGTCTTTGATTCATTTTGAGTTTTTATATGTGGGATGAGGTAGCTTCATTATTGTACCTACAGATACCCAGCTGTCCCAGCACCATTTTCCCTACTGAACCGGCTTGTCACCCTGGCTGAAAAGAACAGCTCTCCACACCCTTCCACTGACTGCTAAGTCTGTCCTTGTGCCGGCGCCACACTTTGTTGATCCCCTATAGCTTGGTTGTGTGTTTTGACCTCAGAAAATGTATCTGAGACTACTCTTTTCCAAGACTGTTTCACTATTATGAGTCCTTTACATTTCCTTATGAATTACAGGTTAAGCAATTTTTGCCAAGAAGCCAACAGAGAATTGTTGTTTTGTTTTTTTAAGACAGGGTCTTGCTACGCAGTTCAGGCTGGCCTTGAACTGTGTACCTCCTGGCTGTTCTCAAACTCAGGGCAATCCTCCTATCTCAGCCTCCCAAGTGCTAGGACTGCAGGGCACTACCACACCCAGTGCCAACTGAGATTCTGAAAGGGACTGTGTTGAATCTGTGGGTCCATTTGGGGAATACAGAACTGCCATCTTAACATTGCTAAATACCCAGATGAATACAAATGGGAAGTCTTTCCATTTATTTAGGTTTTTAATTTCTTCAACAATCTTACCTGGTTTTTCTAAGTGTCTTATGCTCTTTTAAAAAATTTATCCCTAAGGATCATATTCTTTTTGATGTTACCCTAAGTGAAATTATTTTCTTACTTTCATTCTCAGGTTATTTATTGCTCATGTATAAATACAACTGCTTTTGTACAATGATCTTGTATCCTGTTGAACTTATAATACTTTAATAATTCTTTGATACTTTTTTGTTTAAAACACAAGTTATGTCCTCTGAGAATGATGATGGTTTTACTTCTCCTTTCCAACTTGGATGCCTTTTTACTTCCTTGCCTACCTGTCCTGGCTAGAACTTCCAATGAAACGCTGAAATAAGAGCAACAGCTGGTTTCATATTCTTGTTCCTGAGTTTAGAAGAAAAGTGTACAGTCTTTCTCCACTAAATCTGGTGGAAGTTTTGGCTGTTACATTCCCTTCTACTCCTAGTTTACTGAGGGTCTTTAAAAATGATGAAAAGCCATTAAATTTTGAAAACGCTTTTTTGGGGTATGTTGAGATAACCGTGTAGGTTTTGGCTTTCATTCTGACAAGTAAGGCATGTGAATTTTCAGATGTTAATGAACCTAATGTTCCCGGGACACTCATTTGATCACAACACATAATATTCCTGGCTCTGTTGCTGGATTTAATTTGCTAGTATTTTGTTGAAGATTGTGTATTTATATTTATAGGGGGAAGTTTTCTGTAGTTTTCCTGAGATCCTTCAAGAGATGTGCTCTGAAAATCTTTCCCTTTTGCATGAATTACCATGTATTTCACAGACCCAACCCATTTTGTTTCAAGATACTCATTTGAGAGAGGTAGCATAGTGTATTGCAATGGTTTCCTGGCTTTTAGATTCCAAACTACTAAAACATTTTTTAAAATTAGATCAACATTTGGGTTACCAGTTTATAATGTTTCAAGAAAAGACTTAAACATAATAGCTTCTATTATCAGCAAACAAAAAAGACATTTTGACATATTTAGAGGAAAAAGATGGATAATATAAAATAAAGACCTTGCATTTAAAGGTAATAAACTTAGCTCCACGGAAATATTGCTATGTTTTCCAATTCTGTCATGGACTGGCGCCAGCCTGGGACCAGGAAGAAGAGTGTTGGGAGAGAGAAGAGTCAGCTACTAACTGGCCTATAGCATAAGGTCCTGGCCCAGACATACAAAGTCTTCCCGCTTCAGCTCACAGATCCTTGCAGCTGTGCACGCACCTAACCTACTTTCCTTCCTGCACTTGCATGTTTTATGCGTAGCTTGCTTCCCTTTTCCCAGCTGTTATAGGTTTAGCATCTTTTTATACCTTTCTTCATTTAATTGGGCAATTTACCAAGGATACATTATGTTCCAGGCCTGGCATTCTGCTAACGATTTATGGTTCTTCCTGCTGGCTCCACCAAGGTAAGGGAGCAATAAAGGCTTCTGCTTCCCAGCTCCATCATAGTACTGATTATTTCTATACTTGTATCACTTATTAGTCCAATTTTTTTTTTTTGTCATGGAGATTGAACCCAGAGCTTCACTGAGCTATTTCCTGACCCTTTGAGACTGGGTCTCCCTAAGTCACTAAATTGCCCAGGCTGGGTTCCAATTCTCTCCTGTCTTGGACAAGAGCAGCCTGTCTTACCTATCTTTAGCTTCCAGCAGGTGGCCCCACATATAGCAGCCGGTAACATTATTTTAGTTTTTGTAATTGAACTGTGATGACTTCTAGGATCTGGACTGAGGCTAGAAAGAAGCTTTGAGATCAACTTCTTCCTCTTCTCCATCTCCCTTTCCACATAAATAAACTTACTTAAATCTGGTACCGTCTTTCCCCCAACAATTATCTCCAGTCCTGGGACTAGAACTGGCTTTTACCAGAAGACACCAAGAAAGTCTGCACAGCACAGAGCACAGCCAGCCTGAGAAACGGTGATGAGTGAAGAGATGAAAGAAAGCACTTGTCCGGCTCGGCTGAGGCCACTTCACTCAGCTCTGTACCCTGCTGCACTGTCCCAGGGGACCTGTAAAAGGCCAAGTCTGGAATGGCTTGTGAGGAACGACAAGATTATTCTAGCCCAACCGCTTGTTTCTGATAACAAAATAACCATCCACATGATTAAAACATGAACCAAACTCCTCACTCCCACTCACACCCACACATGCATAAAACACCACCGCTTTCTAAGCAAGAGCTAATGATGATTTGGGCACCAGAATTTTTCTTTCCTAGAAAGCACAGAAACCAGAAACAGCACACTTATTTCAAAGAAACACTGCCTTCTCTTCTATGGCCATAAGCTGGATCTCATCTGATCTTGAAAGCTAAGCAGGGTTGGGTCTGGTTCATACTTGGATAGGGAGAAACATTGTGTATCTGAAAAGTGGAGAAAAGGGCTGGCCACACTGCACTCTGCCCTCCACCCCTGCCTGGCAGAAGGGAATGCCACCTTGCCCTCAAAGGGCAACGCCTAAGGACACAGTAGCACTCTTAATTCCCACCAGCTGGAAGGAAGCAAGCACACCCAGCTAAAGGGCCCAAGTGTCAGACCCAGCTCTCCTTCCAGGAGACCATGAGCATATGAAAGAATCCTAAAAACACAATTAGTACAAGACAGGCCCAAAGTTAGCCTTGCACAGATAAAGAGCCATGTACAAATTTCCTTCTCATAAGGCCCTTAAGTCAACCTACCAAGATCTCAAGCACTGAACAAAACACTGGGCTGAAAATAAAGGAACAAAAATACTCCTTGGCTGATGGCTCTTGGGCACATGTGCTTCTTTATTTTTTTTACTTGTCTGATTGGTACTAGGGATTGAACTCGGGACCTTGCGCTTGCAAAGCAGGCGGAAGAACCATTGAGCTAAATCCCTGGCCCACACATGTGCTTCTTTAACAGTCTCTGTTTTGCATCCCCTTTTATGCATCCACCCTCATTTTATGACTGGGGAGAAATAAGATCTTTGACAGTAAAACCAAGTACCACGTTTCTGACATAATGACAACAAACCAGTGAGAAGCTGCTTTGGCCCCATAATTCAGAATTATGAGAGGGAAACACACTGGAAGTTACCAGCATGTTAATAGCACAGCAAAAAGGCAAACAGGTTCTGGCCAAACCCTTCTGTAACTCCTGAGTGCTGCAGGACACAGATAGAGTCCACCACTGGTCCCACCCCATACACACTCCCTCCTCACACTGCTGTTCACTCATCAGCTTCTCCCCCAGCCAGCGGTATCTTTAAATTTGGATGCAGACAACAATTGTGGAACATTTCCCTTGAATAGATAAGGAAAGCAAATGTGGTTACTGACGGCTATTAATGGATACATATATGGTATGTGTGCCACACTTACTGATTATCCAGTATGATATTTTTAAATCAGTAATCTGAGCAAATTCGAACCTATTTCCTCTACTAATCTCATGCAGGGCAGTGATCTCCCTCACCTCCTTTTAGTATTTACTCAACTGTACCTTCTCAATGAAACTGATTCTGATCACTGCATTTTAATTCACAAGTGAATTTAACTCACCTGACCACTCCACTGGCAACCCCGACCTCGATTTTAATTGTGTGTAAATTTATAAATGCACATAAATACAAGCGAATGTGTATGTGCATTCCCACATAAACACACACAACGTTTTGTTGCATTTCTTGTGCTCCGATTAAGCCCCAGAGGGGGAAAAATTGTGCTGACAGATCTCTCCAGTATGTCTGCAGAAGTGCCAGACCGAGGTTAGGATGAACCACTGACTCTACTGGGGGTTTGAAACGAAACTGTCAAAAGGCGCTCGCATGGCCCAGAGCTCGAACCTCAAGGTGCACGCGCCCCGCCCTTCTCCGAGACGCTCGCAGGTGGGCGGCCGACCGATCCGGGCACCCGATCTCCCGCAGGGCGCGGCCT